AAGAGTCAATCGCGGACAAACAACGTGACACGTAATTTATACATATTAAAATAAGATAAGTCTGTTTTCAATCATTGTTAAAATATCAGTCACGTATTTTCAGTAAATAAACAGTGAAAATTGCCGGTAACAAAATGTAAAACACATTTGATTTATGTGCCCCTAGTACACAGGTACGCCGTGAGCAGGTGAGATTGACTTTGAAAAAATACTTTTTTTTTATGCAAACATTGTTTACAATTATCACACATTATAAAAGTTTGTTTAGAGTTTTTAAAACCACATCAATATCCAAAAATGAGTTTAATGGTTGGCAAATTGCCTACTCTGTTTTGTTTTGTGGCTGTTTCGTCAAATCCAACGCGGTTGCGTGCTTGGATTGTATGTGTGTGATATTTAAGATGAGTTTTTGAATTTTACACTTTTATTGCATACTAGTGATCCAACCCGACTTGACATGGATATGAATCCTGATGCGGTGTCGTTTAGATTTTCCCCCCCAATAACTAACGGCATAGATAATGACATGGACGTTACTCATGACCTTTGCTTGCCCATGTTTATTTTAAAACCTATCTATTAAGAGACACTGTTGACGTCGTTGAGTATAGTGCTGAGGTCCTTCAGCAATTCTGGCATAATGTCGTTGGAAAATCGAAGATGTATTCGTCAACGATATTGATATTGTTTCCTTTCCAGCTTCTTCATCTTACAACGCAACGATGAAGAGTGTAGGGGATGTAACGTCACTCTGTCTTACCACATTTTTGTATTTAGATAGGTTTAGCACTCTGGTTTTGTACTCAGATAGCCATTGCTATCTTCAATTTTTAATACCTGTTTATCAATTTCTTTTTATAGGATAGGGTGACAAACGAACACACAGTCCACCTGATGGTAAGTGGTTGCTGTGGCCCATAGACATCAACATCTATCCTCGTTTACGAATCAAAATGCAAATGCGATGTCAACTGTGAGGACTTAGATGGAATGCCTCGTTTCCAGTAAAAAGGGTATCCAGGTTCTCTACACTCACCATACGGAACACAGCAGCATTAAGCTACTATTTGACGCTGGTATTCTGTGAGAGCGTGATTCTTCCCCGGTCGAGTCGACCCATTCGTGCTACAACTGTACTACTAATATAACTGCAGCATGGTTTTAAGTTTTTATGGTTTTTAGTTAATGACAACAGCCACTCAAGTTCATGAGGCGCCCAAACGATCAAATTAACTTGAGGTTTATATCGACATCAAAGTACTTGTTTCGTTTTTTTCTCTAATAGTTCACACGCGCAGACATTTAATTCACAAAATCGCATCACTTTTACGAATCAAAATCTACTTCAAACCATTATTTAAGCGACAAAACAGGAGCGACAATCCGTCTACGGCCAAGTTCCCGCCAAAACCTCATTTATTTCATTTCATACCGATACCACAGATTATAAATATAATAATGTCTACGTAACCAATAACTTTCGTAACTACATAAGACAGGACAAGGATAACATAAGGATCGAAGTGTCGTTATTCTAACAACTATTCTCATCAAACTTTACTTACTGACGTAGTAGTAGTAGTGTAGTTGGATTATAGTAAAGGGTACACGGGTTTCATGAAGCAAAGAGCTGCTCAAATGCTCTTTAGTTCTACGTGTTTCATGATTACACATACAATCTTATAATGTTTGTGCTAACTGTTAACGCTAGTGCTGATTTATCTTACCTTAACCCTAAGATGGAGTAAGAAATATTGAGGAATATTTTGCTAAATATTGTGGAAGTTTTTGCTAAATATTGTGTAAAGTTGCCATGAGTACAGTATTGGTAACACAATTGAACTTATTGTAAACTGATCCATCTTTATAAATAAGTATATATAGGTATATATAAGTTCTGAAGCAAATGTGAATATATCAAATGTTAACAAAACATTCCTGTCCAAACTTTCATTTAGTTTTTATTTCTGTTATACACAATTAAATGATGATAAATAAAGCCTGGTGTGAGCTAGCTCACCTAAAGCGAGGTTAACGCATTCTATAAGCGAGTAAGAAGGTATACAACTATAAATTAGTCTGTAGGAAATTGACCACATCGTTAGGAGTGATTTTTTTATAGATACCATTTTTTGGGTGGCTACGCATCAGCATTTTGATTCTTCATCGAAGATAAATGTAAATTTCTATGGGCCACAGCATCGACTTACCAACAAGTGGATTGTGTGCTCGTTTGTCATCCTTATTCTATATAAAAAATGTCTTTTGTTTGAAGTTGGCTGCAGGCGTCCATGTACTGTAGCTATTTAACTTCATGTGGATTGTAAATTAATTTGTCACATCAGAATTTAATAAAAAACAATAGTAACCGTTATAACACAAAAGTGACTACCTCGTTGGTCTAGTGGTTGTAGTAGTGCGACTGCTGATCATGAGGTCCTGGGTTCAAATCCCGACTCGGGCCAACAAAATCAATTATTGAGTTTTTCCATCAAGAAATTCTCAAAAGCTGTCCGGAGTCAGGAAGTTGGCGGTGTCTCACACCCGTGCTTTGGAAAGTACGTAAAGCCGTTGGTCCTGCGCCTGATCTCTCTCCGGTCGTATTGGTTTACCGTCCCATCGGATTACGAGAGTGAGGTAATAGAGAGGGCACCTGTGCTTGCGCATACACTTGGACAATATAATCCTGTCCTGCGCCGATGGCTAGCCTCTGTTGAGGCAGGCCACCGTGGGCAAAATTCGGTCTGGAGGACATTATTATTATTAATCCAAAAGTTCAGGAAGCTGAAAAGCAATGGACCGTCCATCTTTTTCAAAGAAAAGAAAAAAGTTTCTGCATCGAGAGCTACCCGGACTGTAAGGAGGTCTCCAGCTAGATGCAGTGAAGACTTGGCAAGATTTACAGAAAATCGATGACATGGGACAGTGTCTAATGGCATTCTTTGGAACAGGCCTATGATCAGTCGTGGACTTGTGAGATAATGATGAATATAATAGAATAGAACAATTTTGATTCAATATAGATCACATGTAATTCTCATTTAAAAGTAATTTTTGCTTTACGGTAGGTTCTGTTTTTTATAGAATAGGGTGACAAACGAGCACACAGTCCACCGGATGGTAAGTGGTTGCTGCGGCCCATAGACATCTACATTTATCCTCGATTAGAAATGAGTACGAGAGATGCGTTGTCACCCATGAGGACTAAGATGGAATGACTCGTTTACAGTAAAAAGTGTATCCGGTTCTCTACACTCACCATACGAAACACAGCAGCATTAAGCTACTATTTCACGCTGGTATTCTGTGAGAGCGTGGTCCTATCCCGGTCGAGCCGACCCATTCGTGCAACAACTATACTACTAATATAAATGCAGCATGGATCTACCACGTATAAATATTTTGTCCTCGAAAGAACTAGCAAGAAAAGAAACCCAGCGGGACTTTTTTTTGGATGATTGCGGACGTATCCCATGTCCAAAATTTTCTAAACTATTATAATCCACAACTAAACAGAATTTGGTTACTTAAACAATTCACACTTAATATTATTTGTAGATTTTATTTTTCGTTTGTCCATACAAGTACTTTTAATTTTTAACCTCCAATGAAAAAGAGGGATTTTGTATGTATGTATCTCTGTATATGTGCATCTGTGTATGTGTGTGTCTGTGGCATCGAAAACGGATGAACCGATGTAGATTTAGGTTTTTTTTTCATTTGAAAGGTGATTTGATAGAGAGTGTTCTTAGCTTTGATTCAAGAAAATCTTTTCAGCCTTTTGTAGATTATCAGTTATTTTTGTTTCGGGTTTTTTTTAATGTTCATCAATATTAATTTAAAATGTCGTCTGTGTTGAATTACATCATCTATACTTCGCATTATTTCCCTTGAACAAAGTATTTTTTTTATTATTTCTAAAGTCTACGTGAGATCGGGACTTAAATTACCTAGTCTGTGATTGAGAGAAAGGCTCTTTTACTCCCTACTGTGGCTCCCTCTTTTAGGGCCTTATACGCATTTCGTTCACGATTACTAAGATATCATAAGCTATAAGAGACTTATCTTAACTGGTATCTTACTTATAAAAATATCATCGATAAAATACGTAAAATTAAATTTATTCAATTACTGATATCGATTCGATTAATTCTTGTATATATATATATATATATATATATAATAGATAGTGGTGTATATATATAATCGGGATCTCGGAAACGGCTCCAACGATTTTCATATAATTTTGTGTCCGGCAATAAATCGATCTAGCTAGGATTCATTTTTAGAAAATGTTATTTTATCCGTGTTTTCAGGCAATGAAAACCTTCTACAATATCATTAGAATAAAAAGGTAAATTTTGACAATACGTTAATAATAGCTAAAATTCGTAGAAATCATAGTACCCCTGCTTAGAATCCAGTCTTCGGTCCGACTTTTTTTCCTTTTTTTTTTCAAGTTCTTTCTTTTGTGAGTAAATCTATTATTTCGAGCCCTTTTTAAGTATTTTTTTAAAAACGAAAATTTAAATTAAACTAATTGCACCTATGATTTTTTATTCAATTAACCAGTTCAGTTTTTTCTATTATATCGGTAAGATCAAAAAATATTATTCATATTTCATCAGTATGTAATTTGTATCTAAATATAATATCCAAAACACATGATTTTTAAAAAAAATCCCGAGCAGATCTGTCGTCCAATACTAAATATGTAATACACATATAAATCTTAAGATTTAACCATAATGGATAGTTACGGGAGGAGGGACTGAGGTGTTTGACGTCTTGATGTAATAGTTAGCGACAGCTATCTTCGACAGAACGAGGGTATAGAATCTTGGAAGTATCGAATACAGTAAGTGATTACAACACATCCAACTGGCAGTGAATTATCAGAATAAATTCTTCTCATTACTTATGACCCCTTAGTACAATGAGCCCTCTTAGGAGTATGTGCATAGTGGTGAACACAGATTGCTCTTTAACTTAATACATACTTGTATCCATACTGCAGATTGTCACCACAGCCACCCCAAACCCAGTCTTCATGCAGATTTTTCGGTCGGCCTGCTCGACTGCAGCCACAGCTCGCCAGTCGGCCATCTCTACACGCCCGGGAGATCGCCAGTGAAACACCAGCCGAGGTGATCGCGTTCGTAAAGGCCGTTTCTCTTGAGGCTGGAACAATGTATAAATATCATCATAATGGTTGCTGAGAAATGTACAAGTTACACATGAGCAAAGGAGCTTTACCTTGGTGTTAAACTAAACAAGTGATAAAATTGAACATCTTGTACAACCGATTTCAATATGAATAAAATGAGAACATCATCGTAATGATTTCTTATATTTATGCGAATACTACACATTTGAACATTAAAAAACTACACACTTTACCGGATCGAGAACTTTTATCACGTTAATTTTAATACACTTAATAATTTATTGTTTATTTTTTATTCCCGACGTTTCGAGGTGCTTAATCCATGTACTCATGGTCACGGGGGACTGAGGTGACTGACGTCCCGATGTCATTGTTAAACCCGGAGTACCTAATTTGAACGCGTTCTGCTTTTTTATTGTACCATTGTATCCTCTATGCCATAAACAATAAATAAAAAGACCATAAACAATAAATAAAAAAGCTGAAGGTACTCTGAAACCAGTGTTGCAGTGGAAAATATATCTTCCCGGGAGAATGTATTAAAGATTTGTGGCTAAGAAGGAGAATGCGCTATAAATCTGTCAGACGTCCCGTACAGGACGCAGCACGTTGCTTCCCGAAGATTTAGAGGGCGGGGAATTGTCGTACATATTTAAAAATTACATTAACTCTAAGAACAATAGGGTGTAGTTGAGGATTGAAGGAGACATTTTACTGTATATGTTTTATTAAATATACAAGAAAGGTTGAAAAATGAGTAAGTAAAGTAAAGTCACAGCCTATATACGTCCCACTGCTGGGCACAGGCCTCCCCTCATTTCTGAGAGGGTTTTAGGGCAAGGAAGTGGCCGCCGCGCTGCCCCAATGCGTGTTGGCGAACTTCACATGTCTTCGAAATATTTTTTTTTCTTATTCCTTAGACATCCAGGTTTCCTCACGATGTTTTCCTTCACCGCCGAGCACGTGGTATATCAGCACTTAAAATTGCAATTAACAATTTCATTGGTGCCCGCGGGGATCGAACCCGGGTTTCTCGCGTTCTGTTATATTTACAGCGAGCGCTAACCATCTGAGCTACCACGGCTCTCACCGAAAAATGAGTGAATAGTTTGAATTAATGAAGTTTTACTTTATTTTATACCAGAAAAACATAAGAGAGAGAAAAAAACAAAAGATGATTTAAAGGTAAAATTGGCGGCGCTTATCGCTTAGAAGCGATCTCTTAGAGGCAACCATTGCCTAGTATTAAATGCCTGTGAAGAAATATCACTACCTGTGAGAAGCAAAGATTTAAAAGAAGGGGTACGTAGGTTGTTGGAAAATACCAAAGACATTTATATACATGTAATACTACTACTTAAATGTCTGAATTATACTCGATGAATATATACACACATATATATATATATATATATATATATATATATATATATACATAATATATAAATACGTACATATAGTTTTTAATAGAATAAGGGTGACAAACGAGCACACATTCCACTTGATGGTACGTGGACGCTGTGGCCCATAAACATCTTACATTAATCTTCAATTAAGAATCAAAATTCAGATGTGTTGTCACCCCTAAGGACTAAGATGGAATGCCTCCATAGATTACTGACTATGTACTAGAGAAATGCCTCGTTCCCAGTAAAAAAGGGAGACCCTTTTTGGGTTTTGGTTTTAGTTCTCTACACTCACCATACGAAACACAACAGCTATGGAGTGTAGAGGTAAGAAGTACAGACTCTGTATAAAAAAGTGTCCGTAGGAAAGCGTTCAATAAGGGTGGCGCCACTGTAGCTACAGTCTAAATTTTAAAGAACTTTTTATAATTTTTTATTGCACATACTTTCACCATAATTCCCTTTACAATAATTATTTTATTGCTTTTAAAATTTTTATTTTCAAAATCACTCTCAACGTATTTTACGGCGATTTATCATTCCCTGTAGCTCGAGCGCTGTAGTAGAGAAATTTTGAACTGTTATTTACTGCTTACAGACGGACACTTTTTCAACTATTCTCCTATGGGAGATTGTCTTCCTTAACTCTATACTCCATGAAAGCAGCGTTAAGTTGCTATTTTACACTGGTATTCTGTGAGAGCGTGGTTATATGGTCGAGAGGACCCATTTTGCACAACCACAATATAACTATAGCATGACTCTACCACGTAAGAAATAGTAATAGAGGTATTCAAGAGCAGAAAAGATTTTTTTAATAGGATAGGGTGACAAAAGAGCACACAGTCCACCTGATGGTAAGTGGTTGCGGTGGCCCATAGGCACCTACATGTACCATCGATTATGAATCAAAATGCAGATGCGTTGTCACCCGTGAGGACTAAGATGGAATGCCCCATTTCAAGTAAAAAGGGTCTCCGGTTCTCTACACTCACCATAAGAAACACAGCAGCATTAAGCTGCTATCTTACGCTGGTATTCTGTGAGGGCGTGGTCCTACCCCGGTCGAGCAGACCCATTCATGCAACCTTTTTTTTATTACCTGCTGCTATAGCAGCTCCTACACCTGTCTCAGCTTTAGTTCATTCTTGTACATTAGTAACTGCTGGAGTTTATTTATTAATTCGATTTAATATATTATTAATTGATAGTGTTGCGCGCCTAAGTTGACGTCTGGCACTAGCGTTATCTAGTGTCGGGTAACAGAGCGAGGAGAGCTTTCCAGAAAATGACATAACTAATCTTTCAACCAACAGCGCCATCTAGTACCGAATTGAAGAACTAAGCTTTCTAGAAGCCCCCACACTCGAACTTTCGACGCCTGGTCGGTTGGCTACGTGCGCCAAACTTTTTTTTTTTACTTGAATATTCTGGATGTTTCGGTGAAAAAGGTGTATTTATAGGCGCTGCAATACGCGATCGGGGCAGTATTGAATTTGGCGAGACAAGCGAAGCTTCGGAGCGAAATAAAGTGAATCAGTGTGATTAATTATTAGTGTTTTATGTTTTAATTGGTGTAAAGGAAATTAAAGTGTAAATTTTGGTAATTCAATGGCAGTTTCAATTGTCACGAACCTAAAGCTCGTAACAATATTTTTTTGTAATTATTATCTGGATTAACAATATTTATAGCTGGAATTTATGCTAATTATGAGTATGATTTAAAAAAAAATTATTGCATTATCTACTTTAAGACAGTGAGGTTTAATAATAATAATTTTAAGAATAGGATTACCAGAATTAGCTTTTTTCATTTATTAACTCATTCTATATTTAAGGATTTATTATTTATATGTGGTGAAGTAATTATTCATATAATAAATGATAATCAGGATATTCGTTATATAGGGGGGAATTAGATTATATGTTCCAATAACTTCTTTATGTATAAATATTTCTAATTTATCTTTATGTGGAATTCCTTTTTAGCTGGATTTTATTCTAAGGATTTAATTTTAGAAATAACCTTAACATAAGGAAAGAAAGCAGGTAAATAGCTTGCAGTCAATACGACGACGAGCATACAGTCAACCTGTACGATTCTCGTTTATGAAAAGGATACACGTTATATTTATATCACTACACAAGATATTCTTAAACCGACACTATAAATTACTTAAAGTTATAGCCTATACATATACGTCCCACAGCTGGGCACAGGCCTCCGCTCATTTCTAAGAGGGTTTTAGGGCATGGAATTGTCCGCCATGTCTATCTGTCTTCGAAATATTTTTTTTTCTAATTTCTCAGATATGCAGGTTTCCTCACGATGTTTTCCTTCACCGCCGAGCACATGGTAAATCAGCAATTGCATTCAACAATTTCATTGGTGCCGACGGGGATCGAACCCGGTTTGCTCGCGTACTGTTCAATATACAGCGAGCGCCAACCATCTGAGCTACCACTCTCTATATAAGGCTCTACTATAACGTACTTCGTTGGTTGAAAATTAACGACTTAAAATCTGTAGAAAACATGTTTGCTACATTTTAAATGACTAGATTATATCCATAGCAGAATCAATTGCATAATTTAAATAGTAGATAATTAAACAATAGGAATAAGTAAATAATAATATTTATGTTTGGAGTTATTATGTTGCAATTTTAAGTGCTGATTTACCACGTGCTCGGCGGTGAAAGAAAACATCGTGAGGACACCTGCATGTCCGAGAAAAAAGAAAAAAATATTCGAAGACATGTGAAGTTCGCCAACACGTATTGGGGCAGCGCCGACACCTTCCTTGCCCTAAAACCCTCTCAGAAATGAGGGGGAGGCCTGTGCCCAGCAGTGTGACGTATATAGGCTGTAACTTTACTTAACTTTACTATGTTTGGAGTTACCGACAGTGTAGTGGCAGTGTAAGAATATCCACTACCCCATATCGTCCCGTGGCTGTCGTAAAGGGCGACAGATGAAAATAAATCAGGAAATGGCAGCAGCATCTTCTTAATAACTATAGGATAAAATACTACTGTTGCTAACTGTCTGCCAAGCGTTTTAAATATTTGGGGAGAAAGAAAGCAACATAATGATTTCTTAAATTTACGCGAACACTACACATTGAATAAAACTAAATTTACGGATTTTATCGCGTTTATTTCACTACTTTTACTTATTTTTAATTCCCGACGTTTCGGGTGCTTTACAGCAACCATGTGTCCAACAGTTTTTTTTTTTTTTTTGAGCAAAGGGCCACCCCCCCCCAAACCCACTCTTATTTAAAAACCACACCACAACAAGAAAGGAAAAAGATGGATGGGTGCTGCCACCTGCTTGGGATCCTATAATTAACAAAATTAAACCCAAACCTAAGCACACCACTGCAAGACTTCATGATACTATAAGCTCGTTTTGCGTAAATCGGACCAAAAATTAATATTCAAAAACTGAAGGTAGCCGGACTAACTATGACATTGGGACGTCAAACATCTCAGTCCCCCCCCCCCCCCGTGACCATGGTTGCTGTAAAGCACCCGAAACGTCGAGAATTAAAAATAAGTAAAAGTAGTGAAATAAACTCGATAAAATCCGTAAATTTAGTTTTATTCAAAGAAAGCAACAGTAAATAAAAATCAATGATTTCAAAAGGAAAGATAGGCCCATCTAAATATTTTACTCATAACTTTTTCATACAAGAAAAAGTAGTGCATCTGTCATAATACAAACGTCATATCAAAACACGACGTAACCAAGGTCGGATTTCGTAGTATAATTATCCTAATTGTACCATTATTTCATAGTTTTTAGTACACAGTATCGTAATAATACTAAGCGAAAATACCATAATTTTACCTAAGAGTCGACTTGTATTATTATTGAGTCCTTTTACATTTTAATATTAACCCTACGATATCGTGAATTTCTGCATTGTACATGAGTACCGCGTTTTTTTAATAAAATTAGAATTAGCTCCCTTTCTCAATCGTCAATCGATGCTCGATCCATGCATTTTTATTGCATCCTTGATATAACTATAATGAGGTGGTACCACGATTAAAACTCTATGCTCCAGAAGCAATCGGTTTGAAGGCAGAATTTCAAAATATTTTATGAATCAGATTTTCAGATTCCATAAAGTAGATACGCTTTCTTTTGCACTCTTTTCGTTTTACCCTTATTGAATATAAAATATATTAGATACCAATATTCAAAATTTAACTTACACTAAGTTCTTTAGACATAATTTAAACAGAAATAAAAATAAAACCGTCAAAAAACGAAACGTATAGATAAATTAGACACGTGACGCCAAAATCTCGGCACATGGGAAAAATAAACACGAAACATCAAACGTGATACAATTTTTTTAAAATAGTATAATTTTGTTTTCCATGTACAATATTTTTAGGGTCTAAATCCAACCCTGTCCTAATCTTGGTCACGTAACTAAACTAACTAAAATGAAACTTTAAAAATGCGTTTATATAATAATTTATTTGTAACAAAATTTAAGGTTATTTACCGATGATACGATGTCCCATATTTTTTTTAAATCTTTGTATCATAATTTTTGCATTCTTTTACCACGCAACTAGACATATTTATGACAGGCAAAACTGTCCTGCGCGCACACCACTGTCGACCGATTCGCGTTGGCCCTAAACTGTAATTTTAGGGCCAGCACACTGGTCCGTTTTAGTTGTTCGGTCGGCCCGGTCCTTACGCTAGTTAAGTAAGTAGTCAATGGCTTTAATAGGCTGCAATGGATGGATGTAAAGAAGATAATCTACCAGGAGCACATAACTCACTGAGAGGTGAAATTATTAAATCAACAGTAACATTACAACTATTGCAAATATCCTTCTCTATGAGGCAATCTATGGAGAAGACCTATGTTCAGCAGTGGACTTTAATAGGCTGCTATGGATGGATGTTCGAAGTTCCTTTGCGATAAAGTTCGGAGATCAGAAGGCTGGAGAGGCAATTGGTCGGCCATATAGCTCGGAGAATCGACATCCAAAGTGAAAAGAGGACTATCGTCACTAGATTGAAACCTGGTGAAATCATCATCAATGCAACATTTACAATCCAGCCATATAGCTGCAGAGTAGAGCACGATGGTGTAACTATTCCTGTTTTTCATTTTAAATACATTATAATATCACATCATTATAATATCATATCACACAGATGTTATTAAAGCCTTTAGGAACCTAAGCAAAATAAAATAGAAGATCTATGTTGGTTATACATCTAGATAATTTATATAATTATAAGTAGAGATGAAACGGATAGCTGTTTGGCCGGATATTCTGCCGAACCTTGCCGTTTGGTGCATCGCAAGAAGCGAAAAGTAAAGTCAGTGCGAATTGTTCGCGATCGTGACCCTTTATATTTGGTGGGCAGGTAATTGCTACACAATACCCTAAAATTTGGCAAAATCCAAAGTTTGTCAAAATCTATTTATCTTTCAGCACTCTGCAGCAGTGTGTACAAAAAATACTTTTTTCTGAGGCTGGCGAAACAGCTTGTTACCTTTCAATGCAGGGAAATTAGTATTTATTCACCATTTTACGTGGTAGAGCCATGCTGCAGTTATATTAGTAGTATAGTTGTAGCACGAATGGGTCGGCTCGGCCGGGGAAGGACCACGCTCTCACAGAATACCAGCGTCAAATAGTAGCTTAATGCTACAGTGTTTCGTATGGTGAGTGTAGAGAACCGGAGACCCTTTTTACTGGAAACAAGGCATTCCATCTTAATCCTCACGGGTGACAACGCATCTGCATTTTGATTCGTAATCGAGGATAGATGTAGATGTCTATGGGCCACAGCAACCACTTACCATCAGGTGGACTGTGTGCTCGTTTGTCATCCTATCATATAAAATAAAAAAAATGAAAAAATACCATCATTTGCCCTTAGCTACGTAGTACTATTATTTGTTCTGTGCCTTAGCGCAGTATGAGTACTAATTTTGTAAGTTTTAAAATGAAAATTTTGAGATTACTAATTATATTTGTTAAGTGACATAAATAAAGTACTTAACTAAATTTGATATTTTGTATTTTTAAATCTCGTGTCCGGTCGGATAGCCGTTTGTCCGGTATCCGTCCGGATAGTAATTTAGGCCGGATAGTCCTGATACCGGATAATTACCGGATATCCGTTTCATATCTAGTTATAAGTGATACAGCTCATAGCCCCAATGTTAGCGATGATTTTAAATCGAACGAACCCTTGGTTCTGCAGTGCTGCAGCCAAACGTGCTACGGAGTCGTAATGTTTTCTATACATATTTTGTACCTAATAATCGTAGAGATATGATTACAAATTTCTGTCTGTAAAAAACATTGATTTATTATCCTCATTTACATTTTTACTCTATCCCCATGTAAAAAACTTTTATTTCTCATAAATCATTCAGTATAGAGAGATCTAACATTTAATAAATAAAAATATCGATAAAAAATATGTCGATCCACGTTATATCGATAAAATTATTCGATAGACATTTACAGCACTTAACTCTACACTACACTAGTACTTCTTATTAGTTTGTGAACTACACTATAATTCGCCTCTGTATTGATTCCTAGTGTGTTTACTACTGAAATTAAACACAGTTATGTGGCCCTTGTCTTAAATACAGGCAGTAGAGAAAACTCAATAAATAAATAACTGTGTCTGTGTTCATCACACCTTAAGAAAAATATTTAAAAAGAAATTTGTTGCTTGTTCGTGCATTTTAATAAAAATAATATTTTAAACAAGCAATTTGACTTCACGACGAATGCGGGTATAGTGAACATATTTTCATGATATCACAAAGACACTATTGTAGGCTTCTGTGATCTTTCAAAGGCATATTATATTTGTATAAATCACACAAATATGATTAATAAACCGAAATATTACGTCATTCTTTTTGGTTTTGAAACATGCAGGTGGTTAGGGCCGTACTTTGTGGCACTAAACAGAGGAGTTCTATGTTATATGACTTAAAAGTGGTGTAACGATAACTACCTCGTTAGTTGACCGTAAATGCAGTTGATAACCATGAGGTGCCGGGTAGATCCTCAGTAGCAGCCAGAAAGATGGCGGTGTTACAATCCCGTGGCTCGGGAAGCACGTAAAGCCGTTGGTCCAGTGCCAGATCTCGGATCCCATCAGATTATGAGAGTACGAGAATAGAGAGTGCACTTGTACTTGTACATACACTCGGACACTATAATCCTGTCCTGGGCAGATGGCTAAAACTCTCCTTTGAGACTGGTCGCCGTGACCGAAATTCGGTCAGAAGGACATTTTTATTTAATATAAGGGGTGTAATGATGATGATCATTACGATGCTATAACGAATTTATAAAAGTATAAATTATATTTTAATGTACCAATAGACAGTTGTTACGTTACTAAATCGCTGGATGAATGGGAGAATTCAATAAAATAACTTGATTCCGAAGCTGTAAAAGCTACCAAAGTAGTTTTCTGTTTTTACGACATTGTTATTATGTTATATAACAGCGGATTATTCCGGTCCAGATATTTCTTGTGAATTTATTGACCCTTTAGCGTGATATACATTTGTTATTTTAGGTTCTAAATGTGTTATATTGGTCAAATTATACATTGTCTATATTTTTTGATAAAATACTATCAATGATATTAAAATTACTAATATTCCCTTTCACCAACAATGGTAAGCTTAAAATGCTTATGTTAGGGGTGGTTTACGTAGTCGAATGGTGGATTCGAACTCACGACCTCTTGAAATCGCGGTCTGCACCTTTTTTTAAATAGAATAAGGGTGATGATACCACTGGATGGTATCGCTTATTGGATTCTTAAACCGCCTTTGTTGCCTAATGGCGAGTGGATGCTGTGGCCCATAGACATCTACATTTATCCTCGATTAAGAATCAAAAAGCAGATGTGTTGTCACCCGTGAGAACTAAGATGGAATGCCTCGATTCCAGTAAAAAAGGGTCTCTGGATCTCTACACTCACCATACGAAACACAGCAGTATTAAGCTGCTATTTTACGTTGGTATTCTATGAGAGCGTGGTACTTCCCCTGTCGAGCTGACCCATTCGTGCTACAACCATAATATAGCTGTATCGTGGCTCTACCACGTATGAACTTGGCCACTACATGGTATCAGATATTAGTCCTGAGATACGAATAACTTACAAACAACATGTTCACCAGTAATTGAACCATATGGTAATAAACTCACCGATCAAAGTTAGCGGCCCGAAAACCGTTTCATCACCCGTCACGGTGCAGTTCCATCTTCGGCTCTTGAACTGATACTGGCACTCGGTGATACCCTGCCTTGCACCAGCTCCGACAGCCGGCATGTGATCCTTGTGGCGTCGGCAAACGCGCCGCTGTCCAGGCGTCAGACCGCGGAGCTTCGAGCACATCCGCGACTTGTCGGAGAAGAGATCGGGTTGGTTGGACCACTCCTCGAATTCTAAAAGACCCATGTTGCTGGAACAAAGGAAACATTGCGATAAATGACCATTTCTTCTTATTGTTTTTTATGCGTGTTACCTCAGAACCGTTTTCTGAGTGAACCCATTTTGATGATTCCTTTTTATTTGAAAGTTGGTGCTTCTCTTGTAGTCCCATATAAATTTTATCAAGATCTGACCAGTAGTTTTTGAGTAATTCTTAATAATGCGTATTTAGTGAGGGCTAATATTATTTCACCCACTAGATGTCGCTACTTGGCAATGAGGTAAAGATTTTTGTTACACAATGTAATTTAATTAAGAAGTTAATTTTAAACAAAAGTGTATCAGTTTCTAGAGTATTATATTAATACATAAAACACTGACTCAGTGGTGTGCTCTTTAATTTTTTGCACATTTAATCTCTTTTTTTATATTTTTCTACTTTTATGAATATATGTGGTTCGGTTTATTTAATTTTGATCTAAATAATACAAAATATAACTAATAGAACAGAAATAAACATTAACCTTCATATATTACGTACAAATGAACTTCCCCGCTACGAAATCTATCAAATATCATTTCATCATCCTCATTTTTAAGTGGCACCGCTCTGGTGGCAGAAAAAGTTGTAGATGCCATCACTGCAAAACCCTCATTATCCTCAGTCGCCTTTTACGATGCCCACGGGAAAATATGCGATACAATTTTAAGCGATTTTTAGATAAAATATCTTTAATTAATGAATACTAATTTATAACATTGGCACTGTTTAAATGTATGTAAAATATACAATATGTAACAAAAACCCCGTGGTTCCCGTCAGTTAAGTTCAGTTCCGTTCAGTGCGTCATCAGAATCAGTTTTCAAGCGTATAGATTTTTGTGTAAAAAAAAAACAAATTTAAAAAAATTAATTTTAATTAAAAAAATATTTGCAAATTGTATATGCTTTTATTATCTCTGCATTGGCCGAGGAGTAAGAGGATTGTCATACCCCGCATTACCGATACTCGTGTGAGTTAGAGGAAATAAAACCACATACAATTAGTAAATAATTTTTTTTTAATTAAATTTCAAAAAAAAATTATGCTCGTTTTTTTTTTGCAAAAAAATTTTTTATATACGATTCAATACACGTTGTATATTTTAAGTAACAAATTTAATTTACAAAATAATTCCATACACACATATATAAACATACACACATATAAGTACTACTCAGAGGTGTAGGCACTACCTACTTAATTTTCCTTACGTGAAGGCTTTTTTTATTTTTTATTTTTATTTATTTATTATAGGACAACACAACAGATTACATCACGACTTAAAGCTATAACTTACAAAAATAATGGTGTGATAAAAGACATAATCCTTATACGTGTTATCACGGCGTGCTAAGATTGAGAAACAAACATTTTAAATAAAATTGCTTAAACTAACAGACTCACAATTCCAACAAATCAAGAACTATAAATATAATGAATATCAATCGACGGGGATTTCCTTGAGAATGTCTTTCAAAACATTTTTAAAGCGAACTAGGCTAGAGTTGAAGATGTCAAGGTTGGTAAAGCGAAGGCTATAATCCTCATAAAGTCGACATAACGTGATAGGGGTTGATTTCGAGAGATATTATTTCGCGATAGGGGTATGTCAAATATTTTTTTCATAGGTCTACGTGGGTTGTGTTTTATGTTAAAATTTAACAGTTCCAAGGCCTCGGGGCTATTCAGTTCCGAGTGTACTATTCTGTGTAGGTTGACTAGGTCCAATTCGTCGCGACGGAGGTGAAGTGGTATCATGTTAAACTCTTTAAGCCTCTCAGCATATGACCAGAGTCTTCTATTGTTGCCAGTACGTAAGCTTAATAAACGCAAAAATTTGGATTGGATTGATTCAATGCGCTCAAAATTCACTGCATAGTATGGATTCCATATAATTGAGCTATATTCTAAATTACTTCGAACCAGACTGTTATACAACAAAATTAAACTTTGTGGGTTCCTGAAGTGCCTGCTCTGTATAGTAACGAAACCTAGTACCCGGTTAGATTTTTTGGCTATGAGATCGTAATGTTGGCGAACACTAAGCTGTTTGTCAAACACGACCCCGAGATCCCTAATAGACGACACACGAGATAGAGTTTGTTGTTCTAAGATGTAATTGTTTAATACCTTGTTTTTTTAATTGGTAGGCGATGACAAAGCATTTTTTGACATTAAGGAACATGTTATTTTCTCTGCACCAATTAGACAAGCTGTTTAAGTCTTCCTGTATGATGCGAGTGTCGTCAGCTCCACCAATTCTATTGAAAAATTTTAGGTCGTCAGCGTCTAACAGGCAAGGGGATTGAATTTTCTCAATGAGGTCATTAATGAAGGTCACAAAAAGTAAGGGGCCCAAATGGGATCCTTGTGAAACACCGGACTTAATGAGGATTTCTTCTGATGTGTACCCCTTGACGGTCACGAGCTGACTCCTGTTCCTCAAGTAGGACTCGAGCCAACGCAACAGACTGCCATGTATACCATGTGACTCGAGTTTCTTACATAAAATTGCGTGATCCACTTTATCGAATGCTTTTTTGAAATCGGTATATATGGCATCTACCTGACCACGGTTGTTAAAAGCATCGCATATGTAGGTTTTGAGGTTAAGAAGGTTACTGACTGTCGATCTCCTTTTGATGAATCCATGCTGCTTATTTGATATAAGAGGTTTTAAATGAAAATAGAGGTGATCAAATACTACTGATTCAAATAATTTGGATACTGCTGACAAAATGGTTATCGGTCTATAATTTTCACAGTTGTCTCGGTCACCAGATTTAAATATGGGGACAACGTTAGCTTTTTTCCAGCGAGAAGGGAAAACACCGCTAATCAGTGATTTATTTAATATTAGCAGAAGCGGGTGACACAGTTCATCTGCGCATACCCGCAGGAATATAGGTGGTATGCCATCAGGGCTGGCTCCCTTGTTGGTATCAAGATGCCTTAGTTTTGTTAGTATTTCGTTCTCAGTGAGTACGAATTTAGTAAGAAGACTATTTGTTTGACTACAACAGACGGATACACCCGATCCACGACTATGATCTTCGAATACTGATCCAAAAAATTCTGAAAACAGATCGCAGATTTCCTTACCACCAGCAGCCGTTGTTTCACCAAATGTCATTGAGTCGGGAATATTCGAGTTGTTGCGTCTTTTGCTGTTAATCTAACTCCAAAACGACTTAACGTCTTTTTTCAAACCATTTTCGATAGATCTGATGTATTTATTGTAACAACAGTTTATGAGTATTTTACATCTAGCTCGAAGGAGAGAGAATGTATCGTAATCTCGTGGGTTTTTGTATTTTTTGTAGCGCACGTGGTATTTGTTTTTTTCCCGCATACAACGACGCAAGCCAGGACTGAACCATTTGGGATATTTATTTGAGCGGTTTTTAACTGTGGGAGTACAATCATTAATAATTTCGTAGATCACATCGTAATATCTAGCCACGGCCTCATCTACATCTGCCACATGAAGTAGATCTGACCAGTTGGTTTTTTCTCTGATTCTCTGCTTTACAGTTTTGTATTGGCATTTATAGAAATTTTGCCGCTTTGACTCATTGACCTTTAGAGGTTTATAATTAAGGGAATTTGAGTCTTGAAAATCGATCCGTAAGGCAGGGTGATGTTTATCCTGTTTTAATAAGGTCTTCTTGTTGATGATGGTCATATTTCCAGAAGTGCTAAGAGCAAGATCTAGTATCTTATTGTTATTATTGGGGATGGGGTTGAACTGTGACAGATCACAGAGTGCCACAGTATCTAACAACAGTTCGCTCTTATAGTCCATCTCATTGCAGCTAGCTGTCATACTGCCATCGTTTGACAAGATCCATGAGACATTGGGTACATTAAAGTCGCCAAATAATGCAAAACAATTCTGTTCATTTGATTTTAGGATAATGTTTTGAAGATTTGAATAGAAGTTTGACAGGTCATTTTTATTAAGATATGGAGGTAGATAGCAAACGGATACATTAATTGTCTGACCATTAATATTAGGTGGCAATATGCTAATCCAGACATCCTCTAGTTCGCTTTCCCAGGAGACCTGTCTGACAGCAGAGTATTGTTTTTTAACTGCTACGAGGACACCGCCTCCATCGTCTTTATTATACTTTTTAACACAAGTGGTATCGCGATCTCTACGGAAGACATTGTATTGCTCGTCAAACAGTTCCCCATCATATACAGAAGCATCGAAATTTGTTTCAGTTAGACATATCAAATTGTAATTAGAGTTCAGAATTTTTTTATAAAGACTATCTATTTTACTTCTAGGTCTATTGAGATTTTGATAATATATGAAAATTCTTAAAAATATGTAAAAAGATACCAAATAAATGCTTCGAGTTTAATCACATTACAAAAAGAAAAAATAAAATGAAAGAAATAAATAAATTAGACTACTCTATACAGGGTTATTAGGCGACAGCTTTGATAAATAACTAGTGTCTCTTATAAGTATAGCAGGGGATTCTTCATTTTTACGAACATAGACACGACCGTATTTTACCCAGACAAATTTGTAGTGGTTAATTTCAGTCCATTGTCTTGCCGCGGCGTGTACTGCCTTGCATCCAGCTGATAGGTGTTCCGATATGTAGATATTGTATTTTTCGCCAGCCAAGCCCATGTGAGACGAGTTTAGCGGACACAACTTGTTTGCTTTATTGAATCTTCGCACTGCAGAGATGATAGTGTCGCGGTGATGTTCCGAGTGCAGCGTCGCATTAATATTGCGGGGACGGTCTGACGAAGGGTTCATCTTTGCAACACGGCGGATAGATTTTTTGTCTGACTTAGCAATAGGGCAATTTATAACCTCACACAATTTCATCAACCCATACAATAAATTTTCCGATCGTTTTTCGGGTACCGACTGGATTTCAATGTTGCAGTTTATTGAGGATTTTTCTAAGACCTGCAGAGTTTTATTCATTTGGGATAATTCGGATTGTAGTTGCACATTT